CCCCAAAACCCCAAAACCCCAAAACCCCAAAACCCCTGTATATTATTGCAACAATAATTTGGTAATCATTGAAATTAAGCATTTATTAATTCAACTGATTTTTAAATACTTCGCTCACTTTTCATTTTCACCATTAGGCGGAGGGTTATCTCCAGGAATCAGCATACTAATATGTGAACCATTAAGTAGCATAGATTCAACTTTATTTACAAGTATTCTTTTACCCCCAACACCAAAATCTTAATATTCTTTAACATCATCTAGGATCAAATTAAAGTACTCATCGAATCCTCTTAGCGTTCCATAAAACTCCTTCTCACCTTGCATTAGAATCCAAATATTGTTGCCTTAGCATTTATCTATCATTTCTAAGTAATGGTATAATATATTCAAGTTAAATTTACCAAGAGGTAATATGTGACCTACTCCAAAGTTTTGCCCTGTCGCTGCCATTAAATTTATAAAATTAAAGTATAATAATTCTCTAAATTACTAAATAATAGTATAATTATATTAAATACCATCAAAGATTTCAATGCCTAAAAAGCAAGAAAAATACTCCAGCAAAGAGGAAAAAGAGGAAGACGATGAGATAGCGTCTTATGATGATGAAATGGACGATGATTCGGATGACAATCAAGATAGAGAAATCGAAGTCAACAAGAAGCATCTCCTTAACTATGAAAGTGATGATAGTTCAAATGGAATGATAGATGATTCTGATGATGATTTAGATAAAGGCCTTGCTAAGCAAAAAGAGGAGTTAATTATGAATGATACCTGGGGTAGTAAAAAGCGTAATTTTTATGGTAGAGACAAGAAACAAGATGTAATCTAATATTCAAAATATATTATATTTTCTTATTTACCTTTCAATAGGATGCAAGTTCTAGTTCAGATGATGAAGATGAGCGACTTGAAGCATTGAGACTTTAAAAAGTTAGAGCAAAGAAACTTCAGTTACTTGCTAACTAATAAGAAGATTTTGAATTGAATGATTAGAAGGATTCGAAGAAACTAGGAAATTAATTGGCATAAAGTTCTGAAGATGAAGATAGCAGTGATGATAGTGAAGTAGAAAGAGAGAACAGGAAAAAGGGGAAAAAATTAGGAGATAGATTATTTGCTGATGAAGGTGAATCTAAGTCTAGCAAAAAGTAACAAAAAGTTAGTGGTCAAAGCTTGAAGGAATTGATTAAGGAGATTTAGAATCCAAAGATGATCAAGACAATTGTAGAAAAAGAAAATCCTGAATTATTAGGACTTTTAGAGGAGTTCAATTATTCACTATCAGAGATAAACGAGAAATTGAAACCTATTCTTGAGATTGCAAAGGAATTTAAAACCGAGTATAAAAACACTCTTACCTATATCGAAATGAGGCACAACTTGTTACTTTCTTATTGCACATTTTTAAGTTTCTACTTGCTGCTTAAAGTAGACAGTAAACCAGTTTAAAATCATCCAGTTCTCTTTAAACTTACCCATATCAAATCATTACTTGATAATTTAGCGCCAGTTGATGAGAAATTATAAAAGTAAATAAATAAAATGCTAAAGAGAGCTAGGAAATAAGAAAAAAAGAGATTGAGTCAGCTGAAATAGAAGTAAGCTTTGCCAGATGATGTAGAAGAGTATGATGAAGAGGAGGATAATGAAAGTGAAGAAATTGATATGGAAGAGTATGACGTTGAAGAGGAGTCAGATCCTGAAAATGAAGTTTATGTCAAGAAATCTAAAGCCAGAAATTAAGAAGAGGAAGAGGACGATGAAGAAGATATTGAGGATGATTACGATGAAGAGAATCTTGAAGATATGGACGAAGAAATGGAAGAGGACATTGAAGATGAGTACGATGATGAACAAGAATTGTTCGAGGATGATAAATAAGGTGGTAGAGGTATAAGCATGAATATTTAAGAAATAGAGAAACTATACGAAATCAAGAATGGCAAAGCTGTAATCAAGTCAGATAACTCTAAAGATTAAAAAAGAGATAAGAAAGATAAAGATACAAAAAAATCAAAGAAACAATCACAAAATGATGACTAATTAGATGTACTAGAAAATAAAAAAGACAAGAAATCTAAGAGCAAGCCAGAAGATTCATAAGTTCTTAAAAAGAAGAAGATCACCTTTAATGACTTATAGGTGACAAAAACAGCAGAAGATGATATCGAGGGTGATGAAGTATATGAAGCTTAGAAGTTAAAGCTCCGCGAGAAGAAAGCTTAAAAGAAGGAAATGAAAAAAGAATTGAAAGAGTAGGAATTGCAGCAAGTTGGAAGAATGGAGAAAGACATTCAGAGAAATATAAACTACGACATAATGAAGGCAAAAGGTCTCACTCGTAAGAGAAAGAAGATCGACCGTAACTCAAGAGTCAAGTTCAGAGAAAAGTACAGAAAAGCTTTAATAAAGAGAGGCAGCAAGGTCTAGGAATACAAGGAAGGACCAAGAGGCGTATACAGCGGAGAAGGAACTGGTCTAAAAGCTGGACTTATCAAGAGTACATCATTATCATGATAATGCATACCTTGGTATTTATTTAATTAAGATTAATTTATTTTCAACATTTAATATCAATTAAGCTACTATTTTACAGTTTAGGATATATTTATTAAGGCAGTTTCTAATCACTAGCATGATTTCAAATCTTGAGTGAATCATATTGCTCTTTAAGTAAAGATAGGACCTTCATTTGTACCCTTACATGATCTTTCAATTCTATAATAGCCTCTTTTACTAGAGCTCTACATGAATGATCTTTTATCTCAGCTTGTTAAAGTTATTACATGCATTCATTACATTTGAATGTCAAATTTTCACACTATCTTTATTCAATATGATCTATAATATTTTCCTTTTTCATCTGTAATCCACACAATTTGCAGTTAATCAGAACATTAAGGCACAATAATCTTTGATGACTTTCAAAGTTGTATCTGTAAATACTTTCTTTGCAAAACTAACACCTCTACTTTTGATATTAACAAACAAACCTCTAATGATCTTCAATCTCTATTTAATCAAATGAAGAGTAACTGCATTCTGGGAAATTGCTGCATTTTAATTAAACTTATTTGCTCTAATGATGATCTTGCTATAAGTGATTAGCGAAGCTTATCATTGGAAGAATAACTTAGCAACTTGAGTATTAGCATTTAAGCTATATCTGGAGCATTAAATCCCACAAATCAGAGTGACTTTGTTATGAAATTTTTGTAAAGCTAATATTTTTGCATTTATTTGGACAGCTTTTACCAATACTTTCCAAGCATAATTCACAGATCAGATTATGACAAGTTTCACAATCTAATGGATCTTAAACTAAATCTAAGCATATTGGGCAAGTAAAATCATTGGCTAGATCCTTATCTTGATCAATCACAAGATCTATTCGCATTTTAAGTGTTTCTTCATTTATTTTTTCTTAGTTTTACTACTTCTTCAAAGCCTAACTGAAAACTTTGAGTTTTCTCATGCTAATAATTCTTGATGATATTTCATTATCTTGAATTAGTTTCTCCATATATAAATTACTAATAAATTAAGCCATAGTTTCTAGATTAAGATATATTCCTGGGGTTTTGGGGTTTTGGGGTTTTGGGGAGATCGGAAGAGCACACGTCTG